ACCGTGGGATTACTGTGCTTGATTGGCCAGCAAACTCGCCTGACCTAAACCCCAAAGAGAATCTATGGGGCATTGCCAAGAGAAAGATGAGAGACATGAGACCGAACAATGCAGAAGAGCTGAAGGTCGCTATTGAAGCATCCTGGTCTTCCATAACACCTCAGTAGTGCCACAGGCTTATAGCTTCCATGCCACGCCACATTGAGGCAGTAATTGCTGCAAAAGGGGCCCAAACCAAGTACTGAGTACATATGCATGCTTATACTTTTCAGGGGTCCGATATTGTTCTATGTACAATCCTTGTTTTATTGATTGCATGTAATATTCTAATTTTCTGAGATTGTGGATTTGGGGTTTTCATGAGCTGTAAGCCATAATCATCACAATTATGACAAATCACGGCTTAAACTAGCACGGCTATGTAATGAGTCTATCTCATATATTAGTTTCACCATTTAAGTTGCATTACTGAAATAAATTAACTTTTGCACGATATTCTAATTTTTCGAGTTTCACCTGTAAAGATAGCCCTAACTTGTTATAACAGTCCTCAATTTGTCACACTGGCCAGTGAATGATGAAAGAAAAAAAATGTTGGCCAGCAATGTTGGAGCACTTGAAGAAATCACAACAGTTCCCAACAGACAATATATTAACTTGTATGATGTTAGTCTCTTTCCAGACCAAGGGCACCCTCTCCTGGGTCTCTAGACGTACTCTGATTCAGTAAAAGTCCAATGCAAATCAGACAGGGATCAAGGTTGCTGTGATCTCTCTCTTTCAATCCAGCTGAGACAGTCCCTCTGTTCCGTCCTTACATGTGCTGGGAGTGCTCTCTAGAACATTCTGATCACCCCAGGCATTTAAATCACACCTCGCACTGCATGACTGATTGTGGTCAACTATAGTTACGCTCAGCCAGCAGCCCAGTTTTTTTACACACTTCTCCAGCTTTAAGGCTGTCCTCTCATCTCCTCTCATCAATCTGCAGCTCAGTCTCCTTGATCTGTTGCATCTGTCCATCACCATCCTTGCATGCTCAGTCCAGACCCAGTCAAGATGGCTGCCCTATGCACTGGAGACACTTCATAGATGAGCATTACAAAGTGGTCTCTGTAATGCTGGCTGCTGCACTTCTGCATTAATGAATATTCAGTTTAACCCTGTCCACACTAGAAAAGGATAATACAGCAGCAACAAAAGAAGATGCTCTGTAGCAGTTATCAGCTACAGTCCAGGTACATAATCATGACCTACTCTAAAGGAAACTGAAAAACAAGTTTGGCCTAATATACACTTTTAAAGTAGCTGTCATCACCTTTCCCAGAAAAAGTTATTTATTTACTGTATTTCCTTCAAATTGGAAAACTGGCTGATTATATATTATCTGATGATGCTGGTTTGAAACAAAAGTGATGTGCATAACACAGTTCCACAGTGCAAACAGAAAGACTGGCAAACAGCTCATCAATTTATAACCAGAATAAGAAAGAAGCACAATAGAGGGTCATTCACTATAGAGACATATAACTAATTATCAAGCAGTTAGTTGTACAATTGAAGGAAATTGGCATACTTTAAAAATGGGATCATGAAGTGTTTTATTACATTTGTGTAAATTAGCCATACAACTATTTTGATGGTTATGCCATAATGAGAAACTTGTTACTATTTTCCTTTTTGCATTCTTTGGTTTTCAGGTCTTATTGAGTGATTTGTTTATCTAATGGTCCTCATGAACCTTTTAGTAGTTCTAAAGTCTACAATTTTTTTTACCATAACTCATTTTCTTCATTAAGTTAATTCACAAATCCAGTGCTATCCTGGCTGCAGCACCGCTCCTCTCCTTCCTGGTTTCACAGTAGAAACTGGGTCAGTGGGAGCCATAGGTTGCTGTCAGTCAAACTCCTGGGAAGAAAGTGGGGGCAGGGCTTACCAGTGCTGTGTGTGTTTCTGGATACACACAGCCCAACTTGAGAGCTTGCACTCACAGGTGCTCCCTTAGCATCTGCTTTGCCAAGGTGGCATCTAGAGGAGAACAGGAGTGCACAGTGCCAGTGGGGTACTGCCAAAGAGGAGATAAGAGGACGCCCTGTGCAGTATAGTTGCACAAAGCAGGTAAGTATAACCTATTTTTTTCTAATTTAACAGCATAAAAATTTAGCATGTAATATCACTGCAGTTATACTTACATCAGAGTGCCCCCCCCCCTCCCCGCTTCCAAACACACCTCCCAGGCTTATCCAGATTAGATTTAAAGTGTCATTAGAGCCCTTTCTTTGTACAAACTTCCCTTATAGATAACAATCAAAAGGAAGCAAATAAAGGCACCAGTAGCAAAATAAACACAAATTTAAACATTAATAAAGTTTTATTACAAAATTATTCAATAAATACACTGTGCATACAATTACAAAAATTCCCTTATTGATATGTTACCTGTTGTTCTTTCTTCCTTTTTGTTGCTAGAAATGAATTTTGGGCCCATAGAGCCACAGTAGCGTTGCCTCCACAGTGAACATGCTCTGATTCTTGTACTCAGTAAGCTCTGTCTATTTACGGCCTAGTGAATAATCCATCCATGTCAGTACAGCTGGAGTCGGGGGCTGGCCTAAGCCTCAGCACATCACATGTCCTGATAATATTGCCTGGAAAACCCTCCCCTCCAGACAATGCAGCAGAATGGAGCTGTCAGTCAAGCATATGATCTGCCTTGCAGCCAGCTACTGTCAGATCAGTCACTTGATTGGCGACTCCATTCAGCTCTGCTTATCCTAGGAGAGAAAGCCTATCAAAGCTGATAAGACATCACCAGAAATGTGATATGTTGAGACTTAGCCCAGCTCCCCATCCAAGTCATGATGATCTGTAAAGAAGAAATGAGGTCATGTGATCTTAGAAAGAAAGTTTTTTTTAGGCGATCTTCACTTCCTGTCACTCTGTTTGCTCAGAGAAGTTAAGTAACATCCCTGATACTTTTTAGTACCCAGCCTCATGCCTGACAATAGGCCCCTTAGGTAACCGTTGTCACTATATAGGGCTTGGAGAGACCCCTAAACCCTGTGTAAACTCCAAGCCATGACCTGGAGCTTACCGACTTGCATTATACAGAACACAGCAAAACCTATGGCTTTGATGATTCATCCCAAGTATTTATGAAAACCTCCATTGCATAACGTTTTTGATGTAATAGTATCTAACACTGGGATGCAATAGTTATAGTGGTTGTAGGTATTTTGAGGTCTACAGGTGGTAATGCCTACATTTAGAGGCTAGGTTGATGTAAAGGGATAGATATAGAATTTAGGTTTAGGGTTACATTTTTTGGTTACAAGTAAGTGGATAAATTATTTGTCAGGTATATTAAAGTAATTATTTGGGCATTATAATTGTGTAAAAGTGTTTGGAGGCCAAAGGTGTGCCAAATGTTTTGCAACCAAAGCTCCTACACCAGAAACAACCAAGGCAGTTTTCAAAATCTGAAAGTGGATGTACAGATATACTTATAGAGTGCCTTGAAAAAGTATTCATACCCCTTGAAATTTTCCACATTTTGTCATGTCACAACCAAAAACATACATTTTATTTTATTACAGGTACTTATATAGCGCCGCCAATTTACACAGCGCTTTACATATATATTGTACATTCACATCAGTCCCTAACTCTCAAGGGGTGAAAAATCTAAGGTCCCTAACTTACATTCATACATACACATACTAAGGCAAATTTAGACAGGCTTCAGTTAACCTACCAGCATGTATTTGGAGTGTGGGAGGAAACCGGAGTACCTGGATGATACCCACGCAGGCACAGGGAGAACATGCAAACTCCAGGTAGGTGGTGCTGTGGTTGGAATTTGAACTAACAACCCTAGTACTGCCAGGTGGAAGTGCTAACCATTTAGCCACTGTGCTGCCCATATGTATTTTATTGGGATTTTATTTGATAAACCAACACAAAGTGGCACATAATTGTGAAGTGGAAGGAAAATTATAAATGGTTTTCAAAATGTTTTAAAATAAATATGTGAAAAGTGTGGCGTGCATTTGTATTCAGCCCCCCTGAATCAATACTTTGTAGAACCTCCTTTTGCTGCAATTACAGTTGCAAGTATTTCTGGGAATGTCTCTACCAGCTTTGCACACATAGAGAAATTTGTACCCATTCTTCTTTGCAAAATAGCTCAGGCTCTGTCAGATTGGATGGAGAGCATCTGGGAACAGCAATTTTCAAGTCTTGCCACAGATTCTCAGTTGGATTTAGGTCTGGACTATGACTGGGTCATTCTAACACATGAATCTGCTTTGATCTAAACCATTCCATTGTAGCTCTGGCTGTATGTTTAGAGTCGTTGTCCTTCTGGAAGGTGAACCTCCGCCCCAGTCTCAAGTCTTTTGCAGAATGAAAGAGTATCTCCACCTCCATGCAGGTATTCACACCAGGAATGTCAGCCCTGACATGTCATGTTCCTGTACTTCTTGTTAGCATAAATTCAAAGAGAGAGCTGGAGTCTGATAACAACCCTTCATGGTACTTTATCTGGTAAAAACAATTGGTCTAGGACAGGCAAACAAACCCAGCAGAATGCTAGACGGTGTCAGATGAGGACTAATAATGACTAAGCACAATGCTAAAGGCTCATGTACACTGCAGCTGATAAACTCAAGTTTAGGAGCTGTTCAGCAATTTTTTCAGCAGCCCCTGAACTCACCCTAATGTTTTCCTATGTGTCCATGTACACATCTTCGTTTACAGTCATTTAAAGGCATTTGAGTTTACAGTCGTTTTTTTGAACACAGAAAACGTGCGTTTTTATCAGCGTTTCAAACACAAATCATGTTTATAAGCATTTGCGTCTGAAAATTTTTTAGAACTCTTCCAGTTCCTGATGCTGTCTAGAGCCTTTTTTTATCATGAAAAATGCATGCAAAGCGTTTTCAAGATACTCAGATGAACAAAACACTGAAAACAGGATGTTCCTACCAAGCTTGTCACACTTTGTAATGACCAATTCACACCTCAGACCAGGGGCGGACTGACAACTCATGGGGCCCCTGTGTCCTTGCCCAAACTCAAAAAAGCCTATGAAAAAGGTACCAGGGGCATCTCATGGGGCCCCCTACTGATCCCGGGCCCTCGGGCAGCGCCGAGTTTCCAAATGGTTAGTCCGCCCCTGCCTCAGACCTCTCCCACCCTTCGAAACAAAAGATCTGTTAATGACCATTCACACCTCAAATTCCTCATGAAGACCCCCTGTCAGGTGGCCTTAATGACCCATTCCACCAGACACCTTTCCTAGCCTTGGAAACAAAAGAAATGTTAATCAGCAACTCACACCTAAGCTAATCTCAACACATACTGCTGTCTCTGCTTCTACTCTCTGTATTTCTCTGAAACAGTCTGAAATAGGTAATAATTTACCACTTTTCAGTGCATTCTGGGCATTTGGGATTCTCCTGTGCTTATCTTTAAAAAACGCATCTAAATGCAAACTCACAAAAACGCGCATAAATGCATTATGCAAATGTGGCTAGACAGACTTTTTTTAACCTACATTTTCCAGCAATCATTTTCCATCGTTCAGAAGTGTCCCGTGTACATGAGGCCTAAGGCTTGTGGTGAAACATGTTAGCGCCCCGCTGGTTTTGTTTGATCACTTATTTTTTACCAAATAAAGTACCGTGGAGGATTGTTACCAAACTCCAGCCTTCTCTTCAAATTTACACTTTCTTTAAATAACTGCAACTAATAAACTAGAAAAGCTACAATTTCTGGGGAAATTGTGTGAAGTGTTCTTGCCTCTACCAGTAGTCTACAACTGGAGTGGGAGGAGTAACTGGGTGGAATGGCTTGAGTAACTGTTTTGTGGTTGGAGTGGCTGGAGTAACTTTGAAAAAGTTAGACTAGGCAGAGTAACTTTATGGAGTGGGGTTCCTATGGCAACTCACTCTATAGCAAGGGCAGAGAAGAGCGGTTAAAAACAAACTGCTCCAACTTGCTCACATCACTGGCGGTTGCCATCTTCAAACGGTTGTAGTTTAAAAATTATAAATCCTACACCGAAGAGCTTTATATTGTGTGAATCACAAGACCTGGACCTACATTTTGATGCATAGTATGTCTCTGACATATTAAAAATGAAGGCACAGTCGCAGTTTAGAAGTTGCCCTTCAAATTTGAGGTGGCTACAGTGGAGTTTCAATGAATGTCAATGGGCGGCGTGAGTTGCAAACAAATGGTCATATTGTGAAAACTATCAGGACTACGGCTTAGCCGTGGACATTTTTATTGGCAGCAGGGATAGCTGAACGTTTTGATATAAGATTTGTGTAAGTGGGCTTGAAAATGAGGGAGTAATGGAAGTTTAGAAATCATGTCCTGATTTTTCAGCTCACACTCTAGCTTTTGTCAGCTCACACTCTAGTTTTGAGCATTCCGCCATTCATTCCTCTGGGACCAATTTCACCACAAAAACGCTGATATTTTGTGAACCATTCGGCGAATCGTTCCACAAAGTAATAGCACACCAATCGGGAACAATCCGCACGTTTCGGTATTGTCAAGGTCCTACCTTTTTACCAGAGGTTATGTTACTCCATGTGCTGGCATCCATCTTGGATTTCTGCAGAGCATGGTGGGAATCTTTTATGCCTTCAGGTCTCTGAGGTCCATCCCCCAGAGGGGTGTGGCTGATGACATTATAAGCCTGTGTTCCGCACATGCTCTTTGCACTTGTGTCTTGTGTCTTTGTGTCGCTGTTACTCTGTTCTGACTCTCGTGACTCTCCTGGAATCTGACTCGGCTTGTGACCTGACCATTCTTTGTGTTCTCGTTTGATCTGACCCTCCGTTGCTGAACCCGGCTCGTGACCTGTGATTCTCGTCTGCTGTCCTGTACCGTTTTGTCTCGTTGTTGTTGACCCGGCCTGTCCGACTACTCTATTGTCTTTACCACTAGCTACACGCCATGGGCGGCGGCCATTACCGCAGCTGGGGTGCCTTGGGGGCCGCGACCTGGTTCCTGGCTACGTCAAGTCCATCCCCACCATCATGGGCCCTGGTGAAGGGCAGCCTGGGACTTAAACTCTGCGCCCTGAGGGACTTCGGTCTGTGGGTTGTGGTTGTCGTCAGCCTGTGCGTTACATTGTTATTAGACCTGCCTGTCCGCTTCCCAGCTCCTGCCCTGACAGGTATATTACTGTCTATGTAGTGTAAAAACTGTGGGGGGAGTTAGGGTGGTAAATTTGGCTAGAATAATAAGAATATATATGTGAGATAACAGTAAGTGGTCTTGTCATGCAAGAACACTTAATTAAATGTGGGAACAATATTTCTAACAGTATGGTAAGCAACCCTCATTTTATCCCAACACATTTTTCATTGTACAACACATGGTGATTAGTATTATACAGATACGTAGAATATACTGTAGTTGGAATAATGGAGTTCTGTAGCAAGAGGCAAGAGCTAAGCTGATCACTAGAGTTTAGTTGGGACCACTTGTCATCTATTAGTGAGTGTGATGGATGTTCATAGCTGCATCACACTGATACATATGTCATCATTGTCTTCTTGCTAACAGACAATGTTATCAGAAACAAAGGAGAGGAATGACAGAGCAGCCAGGCTGTCTGTACATCACTGTCAGTTTATGACAAGGCTATACAGGAAAACAAATGTAGGGACACTAAAGGCTGAACGGCAACTTGAACAACAAACTAAATGCCTATGCATGTTATATGTTCCCCAGTAGAGAAAAAATGGTTTTTGAAAGTTGCATTTTAATTAATTATACAAGGTTGCATGGTATACACAAGCATTGTCAGCAAGTGGGACAGTAGAATGACCATAATCAATAGTTTATGACATATCAGACAGAGGCAATCAATAATGGGATGAAAATATACATTTAAGTGAACATGTAAAGAATTTGCTTTGACAGGCAAAGGGAGATAATACAGATTCCTGTTTGTACAAGCGCTTTACCTCAGATTTTATTGTCAGGGTTTTATATGAAAAAAAATATAAATATGAGCATATTTTTTTGTATAGCTTGGTATGGAAGTGTTTTGTGTATTCAGAAAGGATGTGACAAAGAAGGAAATGCAAGGTTAGGTATATAAGAGGTGAATAGAGAAAGAAGGAAAGAAAAAGATAAGTTGGAGAGGAGAGGTGGGAGGTGGAAGGATATTGGGGTCTGAGACAAGCAAGGGAATGGGTGGTGGAGGTGGTTTTGGAGGAGGCAGACCCGCTGTCACTTTCCTTGCAAAGAAGGACTCCAGGTCCAAATACTGGTCATCCTCCTGTCAACACTAGTTCGGCTTTAAGTCAAGAACTTAAATTATATCCAGGAAAACTCTGTTTGCCTAAAAGAATCTAATTTGTCCTTAACCACTTCCTGACCGCTCTATAGCAGACGTACTGCTACAGGGTGGCAGGGATGCCCACAATCACACACATATGTATGTATGGTAGGGGGCGTGCGCGCCCCCTATTGGCACCGCTATTGGCTCCTCGGCATGTCAATCATTGGGTCTCGGCCGTCAATTCTCGGCCAGGGCTCAGTGATCATTTGCAGAGCTGACAGGGGAGAGGTCTGTGTGTAAAGAACACCGATCTCTCCCCTGTCAGCACTGACATGCTGCTTTGCATTGCTCTGCACAGCAGAGCAATACAAAGCAGCATGTTTACATAGTAAAACACAGCATAACACACAGTTAAAGCGGAGTTCTACCCAAAAGGGAAAGTTCCCCTTTAAAGAATGGTCCCCCACTCCCGATTAAGGATTGGCACCTTTGGGGAACGGGGGGGGGTACCGCATTTGACAGGTACCCGCTCCCACTCCCCCTGCGACTGCCTAGGCGATTGGAAACGGAGGTTGTCCTCCTGCCCTCCCTCCCCGAAGTCTTGTGGGACACGTGACAGGTCCCAGAAGACAACGGGGCCATTCAGGAAGCTCAGCGCTACACGTGCATGCGCAGTGGGCACCTGGCTGTGAAGCCGCAAGCTGTCACAGCCGGGTGCCCACACTGAAGATGCCAGCGTCTAGAATACAGGACGGCCATTGAAATGGGCTGTGGCGGGGACAACGTGGAATCGTGGGACAGATGAGTGGCTGTTTTTTAAAAGTCAGCAACTACAGTTTTTGTAGCTGCTGACTTATATTTTTTACAGAGTGAGTGGAACTCCGCTTTAACCCTTTGATCGCCCCAGATTTAAACCTCTTCTTGCCCAGTGTCATTAGTACAGTGACAGTGCTTTTTATTAGCACTGATCACTGTATTAGTGTTACTGGGGATGTCAGTGGCAGTTAGTTCCCACCCAGTGTCAGAATGCCCCGCAGTCCCTCAATAAGTTGCTGATTGCCGCCATTACTAGTTAAAAAAAATAAAAATAAAAACTCTAGTATATATACCTCCATTTGTAGATGCTATAACTTTCATGCAAACCAATTAATTTACACGTATTGGGATTTTTTTTTAGCAAAGACATGTAGCAGAATACATTTTGGTCTAAATTTATGAAGACATTTTATTTTTACAATTTTTTTACTGGATATGTTTTAAAAAGTCAAAAATATTGTTTTTTTTTAAATTGTTGGGTTTTTTTTGTTTGTAGCAAAAAAAATAAAAAACACAGAAGTGATCAATTACCACAGAAAGAAAGCTCTATTTGTGGGAAAAAAATCGACATAAATCTCATTTATGTACAGCGCTGCATGACCGTGCAATTGTCAGTTAAAATAATGCAGCGCTGTATCGCAAAAAATGGGCTAGGTCAGGAAGGGGGGTAAATCTTCTGGAGGGCAAGTGGTTAACCATTGCGGTTAGGTCTTCCATATGTATGATGTTGTTTACTCTTATGAGCTATTGAGTAAGCCTGGGAGGAAACGTTTATTTCCATGTGCCTAGAATGCAGGCTTTGGCTGCGCAGAGGACATGTGTCATTAGAGCATTTTTATATCTGGATTTAGGAATGGACTTAAAGTGTAGCCAGTAGCCCAATGCTTTTTTTTAAACATACATGTTGGTTTTTGTAACATTATGTTAAAATGTGCTTTTTAGGCCTGAAAATGACTCACAACCCAAAAACAATGTGTACTTTCTAAAAGCAGAAGACCTGCAGAATTCAATTAAATAAAGAGTTAAAGCAAATAAAAAAAATATTAATTCAACAA